CGCCATGACCAATATTTATCAATTAAGTTTCAGTGGGAGGTAGGGGGGTTTGGAAAAAAACTAAAGGAATTAAGTTTTTTATCCGACATCGATCTTTTGACGTCGTCCCTAAGTACAAGGACTTTTCAAACAAAATGGGCATTAGTGAAAATTTCAGAATGTGCAAAAATGTAATCCATTTAATTGACATTGGTAAATTTAAGTATATGCAATACTTTGGCAGAAAAAACATCCTTAACTTGATGCTAAAAAAAAAAAGATTTTTTCACCAATTTTTTTCTACAAATATTTAGTTAATTTTGGGGAAATGTTTTTGGCATTATGTTGGAGAATGTGAACGTTTTTTTTCAGCCAAATTATTATTGGATTAATGAAAATTGAATGGATACTATCATATGCAGATTAGTTATTTTAGATATACCGGTACATGCCACGGTTGATCACACACTTGTTAATGTTGGGCATTTCTGAACATGGAGCTTGGGCCGGTGTCGGTTTAGAGGAATTTTTTCTCATTTAAAAAAGTTGGGTTTTAACCACGACTTTTGCATTAGTAGTCAGCTTCAAGAATGTATTTTTCATCACATGATATGTGCTTTTTGTGTTTATGAAACTGTTCCACTAACAGCAATGGAGAGAATCAGTGTGTGCATTTATTACATGTCTCCGTTGGATCGTCATGGTACGAGTCATGTCATGTTAAGTGTGACAGCCATACTTATGGTCAGCATCTTGTAAACCTTGTTCACTTTTTGGCCTTGTAACATTTACAAGAGGTTTGTCATATGTGTGGGTGTTACACTTGAAATTGCACGACTACCCATGTGATTATCTATACAAACAGACAGAGTACTCAAGAACTTTCAAGATTATCTTATTTATTCCTTTGTACATATATACAATATTTACAATAAAAGTTTAAACTAAGTTTCAGTAATATATTAATTATAGATCAACTAAATTACATCTAGATAAAACAATATCTAAAACTATGAATGTCCAAATTTATTGCATAAGAAATTAAAAAAAAAAATAGGGAGTGGAAAAACCTAGGCAATCTAAAATGAGATTTTGTAACCGTAACAAACCAAACTAGCAGTACCATACTATGTTTATAAAAATGCTCTGTAATTTTTACTTTTATAATATATTTAATAGCTTTTAAATAAAACCATCAAATGAATTTGAGGAAAACAAAAAAGATGTCAATAAGAATAAAGATTCATTAGAAAATACTCCCGCAACAAGAATAGAAGCATCTTAAAATGTGTTGTATGTACTGTGAATTTTTTATGCCTACAATAGCAGTTTTCTACTTTTCTCAAAAACCACGCCTCTTTTACACTGTACGAAGACTAATATTATGTATGTTCATAAGCCAAGTGAATTGCCCTGAGAATTGCAAAGCACATACTATATGGGGTCTGGATCCAGAGTTTATTTTCTAAATGATAAAATGGTCTAGGTCAAAATAAATCCTATTTTAATGATCCACTTAAAATGCATGCTATTTTTATTTGCACTGCTATAAGAAATGTGCTTCTAATAGAGCAACTACTGTATATATTTTCAATAATTTAAGAAACAAATACAAACAATAAATTAGATCATATACTCTTCTCTTGTCTCTATATAGCTCAGAATCAATTAGATAGTGTATACTGTATTTGCTCTATATTTAATGGAACATAACTAAATAAATTTGGGATCACAATGGGCATTTTTTATGCACTTCTAATACAGCAAATAGAGTATTACGGGTGTCTAAGCCTGGAGTCAACCAATCATTGCACAGGTAGTGATAATTATTTATTTCAGTCGAGTACAATATTTAGGACATGCAACTGAACATGTCCTTGTAGAAAAACCACATTATGCAAGAATGTGGAAAATGTTTCTTAAAGTGAAAGTAAAAAAAAACAGAGCTAAGTTTACAGCCACTTAACTCGACTGTTTACTGTGAAAAAGAACTGAAGACAATATATCTTGGGATGCCTGCGTTACATATTTCACTATGATCATAAATTTATAAAATGAAACAAAATTGTATGCTGGAATGTGGAAAACTGTTTTCATAGCTGATAGCTGTAGAAAGTTTCCAAGACTAGAAGTCTATATAATCACTACAAAGGTTAAGGTTCAAATTTTATGATTATAAATGTCCTGAGGATACAACTGGGATGTGCAGGTTTCCAGTTACAGCCTAAAGTATGCTCAGTATGTTACTGTCTGTGACATTCACTATCTGTAACATTCCTCAAACCATGGGTCTGATGATTCCATCATGTCATCTTCTTCTTGTGTTTCTGGCAGCTTACCCCACAATAGTATATTACATCCTATAAAGCATCAAATTAAAATGTTAGTCCAAAGGGCTTTGTTTTACAGCCACACTAGTCTAGACTGCCACAGTTGTTTATTTCTACTGTGCCATTGCTGACTCTTTAAATCAAATTGATAAATTGCTGAAAACTCTTGGTTTCCCTGGTCAGCCTGAGAATGGCAACAGTCAGCTGGCGTACAAGTGATAATATAATAAATGTGATTAATCCACCAATATTTACTATATGGTGGTAGCCATCTTGAACACTGCTTGAAACTAAATGAAGAGAAACGGTTTCCTACAAATCAGGAAGCCCAAAGAAAAACTTTCACATCTAAACGATTGGGGTAACATTAAGCTAATCGCTAATAAAATTCGACTTCATTCGCCATTTTTGCATGGACAGTCCCTTGTATACGAACACCTCATTACACTAAGAACATGAAACACTATCCCTAGTATATTTAAAGCAAAATCGCTATCCAACTGTAAGACCGTTGCTGATTAGCACCTAAAGTATGATGACCTCCTCCTACTGTTATGTACATAGATTCACCCAGAGTGCAAGTGCCAACAAAAAGGTGCCAGTGAGATTCAAAAGCCAACCGTTTCATCAAAACCAAAGCAGTTAGCCAATTCGCTAGCGAGTTTGCAATACTTCTGAGACTTGCTGTATTTAAATGCATTGTTGTTAATTGTATATTGCATACGAGTGATTATCGCCAGAGTTTTATATATTTATCACATGCATGTTTCCACATTCTGAAAAAGTAGAGAGTAGAGTGGTGATAGTGGAACTATTGCTGGTATAACACCAGATATAAATATATTGTTGCACGTGCCTTGTATGCTGATTTTGTTGAACCCTGGGGTTTCACTTCAAGCAAACAGTGAGTGGTGATAATACTTGTTTGTTCATTTCACTAAGATTTCTTTTTAATTTCAAATGATTTTTTTGGAGAGACTGAATTATAATTCAGAAAATATACACATGGAGCTCGCCAAAATCAAAATGAACCATTGTTACTATAATCCATAGTTATCAAACCGCATATATAAACCTGAAGCTCTGGTAGCTTGATCGTACAGTGAAAAAAAGTTTGGCAGTATGCGATAAGCAATTTCTGTCTGTCCTATATTAACTCACACTGTGGCTATGCACAATCAATTGAACTGAAATATTTTTAAAATCATTTTCCAGTGGGGGAATAATAAATGAATAATACATTCCTCATTGTGAACAGCAATATACCACAGAAATTTAAACTTGATTTTTGTAGCAATTTTAGCCTGTAATTTAGTGTTCATTTAAAAATAGATAATAGAAGGCACTCATCAGATTAACTCATCAAAATTACTGGCATTATAGTGCAAACAATCAACATTCACTTATAATGCAAGTCTTAAATATAATATTCAACGATTGAAATTGCACAGTCACGCCATCAGTTGCCTTATGTAACCAACATTGTTGTCTCCAAACTACATATTGGGTTACCTCATGAATTACAGCGGACGCAAGATATTTACATACACCTAACTCCCACACCCGGAAGGTAATTACCAAGGGACTTTGCAACATCCCAGACACTTCCCTAGACACTCCAATGACCGTTGTAGACGCAATAAAGTTACATACCCACTCACGTGACAGTTAATCAAAACACCGGGCGCGGAATGCCTCTGATGTTTGGCCACGAGGAACGAGGGGTAGTTGGACTATTCCATTGCTTTGTAGGAACCAAAATCATTGCTGTGTAACACTTGAGAGAAATATAATACAAACTAAAACTAGGAATGAATATTAACAAGAAATGATAAATATAAATTCTTTTGATTTTTAGTTTGTTGAGATATTGTCAATGGATTTATAGTAATAATATTAGCGGTGTGAGTGTCCCGTTCAATTTCTCCCACAATGGCTGGTCCCATTGCCAGTTTGCCAGAACACTCATCGCCCAGTCAATCTTTCCCTGAAATCTTCTACTTCGTTTCACCTCCACACCGTCACTATATACCAGTTTCAAATATCTTTCAGATCGCAGACAAAATTCGGTAAACTTAACAATTTCTTATGTAACATTCAGTCGACGACCGCCGCTACTTCTTTCAAAATGTATCCAACCAATGCGACAAAAATGCCGCACAATCCCTTGAACCATTGTCGTCGCTAGTCCAACTTCCTTCGCCGTCGATCATTCGCAAGAGGCGAATAATCACCATCTCAGTGTCTTTGTCTAAACGCTTTGACATAATAGCAATAATTGTTCAAAATCTGTATTCAAAACTAAACTGTATTCAAAACGAGGAAAGTTTAGGTAATTTCATTATATGTTGGGGGCGTTTTTAAATATTTGTATCAACTAGGTTTATTATTTTCGTGAAACGTTCAAAATAGAATGTATTAAATGAACGAGCATATGTATGCATGAAATAATAAAATGTTCGTTATCAACAATGATTAAAACATTTGTTTGATGAATGTTTGTTGACTATCTGAAGCCCTGATCCGTTGTTTTGATTAATTGTCACGTAGGCGTGTATGTAAATTTATTGCGTCTACAACGGTCGTTGGAGCGTTTAGCAAAGTCTCTGGGCATGTTGCAAAGTCCCTCGGTAATTACCTGCTGGGTGCGAGAGTTATGTGTATGTAAGTATCTTGCGCTCGCTGTAATTACCTAATGTAACACAGCCTTAACAGATAGAAACCAGGTTCAAACAAGTTAATTGTATGCGTATGGTGGACATGTATATCAAGTATCAGGCTTCTGTTCAATTATTTCCTTATGACTCGTACAAATATGTTATGGACTAATGATTGCGTGAAGGATAATTATGTTCTCCTATATATAATATAGATTTGCTCACCTGTATTATCCACTCTGTCAAGTGCATATGTGGCAGTGCTATGAAACATCCAGAAATGACCATTGTTACAAGACTGCATACATGGAGTACATGGTAAAATTACATGATAGCCTACAATATTACCACTGAAATACAAAATAATATATACATTTTACATTTATGGGGACATACTAGTGTATTATGTCACTACAGTAAGTAAGCTCCAATGTAAGGTTGGTACAAAATAAACATATTTGAAAAATAAACATATTTGAAAAATATGTTTACATAATAAATACAACATTAATTTTTACAGGTTATACTACTTTTATATTTGATCATATTCACTGGGGTTTTAAAAACACAGATTTTCCATTGAAACGTTGAGTGCCATTGTCATTTTACATGTTCATTTAATTTAGCAGATTTCAACTACATGTATCAGCAAAAGGTAGAGAAATTAAAACCCAGTAAATAATTGATGTATTTACAGTATTGTATTAATGAAGCCCTACACATGCATAACAGATGAAAAAATGCTTACATCATTTTCACTATTACATGTATGTAAGCCTTCTATTGTCTTCCAAAGCTACGATGTAATCCCTCTATTGATCATTTTAAATGAAATGCATCATGGAAGAACCACAATGTACAGGTTTAAATTTTTTTTCTTCCATTTTTTCGATGCAATATATATAACCTATACACATGAGCAAATACTGTAGCATTAACTTTTGTTAACAATTATCAATTGTGCAACGTAGGGCTCCTAAAACATCTTGAGATGCAGCAATACAAAGATTTAGGTTTAACAATTATAATTAATATCTGAAGCCAAAATAGACAAAAGTCACAGACTCACTCACACATGACAATTTACGTGAGTGACTGCCTGAATGGAGTTACAAGAATAAAGGAAACAGTGATTCAGAAAAAATACAATGCAATTCTTTTTGAGTGTAAACAAGAAAGGGAAAGAAAAAGACACAATAATTTTGAGAACAATTATATTATTAGCAGAAAGCCAACTATAAATAACTATAACTATGAGTTGAATGACTCAGTTCATAAACCTTTAAATATATTGGTTAAGCGGGGGGGGGGGGGGGAAGTCATCACCTGCTCATGCGTCAGATGGCCATAGCGCGTCATTATTTATAAACAAGGGTCTACCCATGAGTCTTTATCGTCGCTTGGGACTCAATTCTCGCGTGTGCGCAGGTAACGACCCTCCCTCTTTAAATTTAAAGAGTGACCAATAATAACCTCAATTATATGTTGTACACAATTTACACTGTTGAATATATCATTATTTTAGTCATTTATTATCGAGACGGACATATACTAACCAAAATAGAATGAAAAAAATTTTTTCTTTACCACTACAGATGGTCAATTGTAGTATATGGCTGTGAATTACATACAGGTTTAAATACTAAAAGTAATCATGATGCAAGCTGGTGCTGAGAACAAAGAAGACCAAACTCCCATGCTTGTTTTTTGTTTATTATTGAGATGAGTGAAGCTGTACCTCTTTATCCACATTCACACACAGCTACATGTACCATCTCTACAAGAATTTTATAAATTCTAAATTTATACATCCAAGACATGAACATAATTACTGTTACGTTAAATTAATAAATTTAAGAGGGCAAATTAACTATCCCAGTATGTCTACATTATTTTGCAAAACTATAACTGTGAATATTCAGACAGGATCATCTGATAGTGTTTGTCATGTAATGGCAGTAAAATTATAAATACTATGATTAAACTCTAAATTTACAATTCATAGAAGTGGAGGGTAGGAGGAACAATGGTAATGTCTACTTTTAGTTCTGACTACAAAGGAATTTACTATATCGCTCATATTGCCCTCAAAAGAAAAAATGTTATCAAATTGAATGCAGATATTTCAGTCAGTATTTTATTTATTTTTGTCATCCCTTGAAGTTGAAGAAATATCTCACCCATTTAATAAATACATTGATCACTGTATCACATAATGAATGTTACCAAAGCTAAACTTACCATTGTGTGCAGGCTACATCTCTGATTCTGCAATTGCAGTTCGATGTTATATAAGTTGGCCCAACAACATCAACATGACTGTGAATAAAATAAAATTATGATTTTTTCCCCAGAGAGTTTAGCTGAAACCGTACTAGGTATCTAAAAAACAATAAAAGCCTGTATAACCACCAGTTTCTCCCGTGACAACAGAAAAATCCGTGTCGGCGCACATACCGAGTGTGCTCGATAAAACACGGCTTACTCATGGCCACTCGTTAGCAACACAAGCGCTCAAAATTATATTACTAAAACGATTTTACTTACTATTTAGGAGGAAAATCCGTTGAAAATAGTTCAACATTAGTGTCTGCCAACAAAATTGCTTTCATTCCCCTGCGGCAGACGCAATTTTCACAAAATTTACACAGCAACTCCTGAACTGGTTTCGTTTTAAAAGCAGGATGTTTGTATCTTTTACTCATTGTTACACACCTCGCCTAAAATGTGTGCAAATATCAAAATGGTTTTGTAATTTTCGAAAAAAGGTTTCCTCAGAGCACGGGTTTCCACAGTGTACGCGTTCTGCTGGTAGGTGTTGTTATAAAAGACCGAAGCTGATTGGGTAATATTTAAAAGTCTTGTTATTGTAACGAAGCTTTTTTATTGGCTGCCATTATGGCCCTTTAAATCGCCCCACAGTTCATAGTTTATATCCGGGGTAAAGGTCATTTCAAAACGCGGCGTGACTCGTTTCTGTTTTTTTGGTGTTATACTAATTCCGTCTGCTGTATTCTGAGAACATTCAGTAAGTTATCAATTATTCAATACAGTTTCAAATGCTTGCGTAGAAAGCTGTGCATACATACAGTTAAAACAGTATTATAATGTGGCTTTTAGCGGTCTGAGTTTTAGCTGAGGTGGAAAATCTAAATAACATTTTATCCGTATTTTATATACACTAG